ATCAATATTGACTCTTTGTGTATAGACCAAGTTATTCCTTTTTGTAGCTCTCCTCAGGCATTCATTTGCTTCAAGTTTATGGAACAATTTTTAATTTAGGGTTAGGTTTACTAGTTTGACTAGTGTTAAGGTAAGCCCTATGACAAGTTATCAAAGCTGGGATTGGAGAGTGCAATAACTGAAAAAATCATTCAGTTAACGCACTCCTCTAAAAATAACAGAATTTAACTCACTTGAAAATCAAAGGAAAAATTACCATTCATGATACAATGAGATATATATACTACACTTATAAGTTAAGTATCCAAACAACAGCAATTTGCTATGACCACTGTTTTTTGCAGTGAACTACAGCCATTGGAAATACATGTGATACTGAATGACTGCTCCCCATAAATCATAAAATCTACTCTAGTGCATTTGTTTTTGTATAGCACAATTTTGTGTGTGTGTATTTTAAATTGAGCATGGAGAGGATATTTGTACTCATGAAATATAAAATATTTGAGCTTTTGTAAATATTAAGATAATAAAACACTTAAATTGGTATCATATACTAAAAAAACGCTTTTTTATACAGAGATTTAATAAAAAAAAATAGTTCTTTACACCAATTAATTGTGAAGTGTTTGCACAGGACTTAATGGATTATATACATACAACCTTTATATCTATTTATTCAGATTTATCAATGGTTGGTATAAAAACTATTTCTGCTCTGATTACAATGTATGATCCTTCAAAAGTGAAATACCTCTGCAAACAGTTTAATAAGTATTAAAATTATGCATCCTATATTTTTCACCCCTTTCAAATATTTAATGAATTGAATGTGAAAATATACCTCCTACCAAACCAGCTGACAAAGACATTTGCAAGTATTAGAATTTGAGTACAGAAACCTAATTTCTGTCAATGTATTAGATAAATTAGATTTTTATTTCAAGTGCACCCATGAAACAAAATGTTCTCAAAAGAAATGGGTGTACTTTTTTGTGTTTAAATTTGCGTAGGTGGTGTCGGCACCAAAAGGTTTTTGTTGATTGCTTGTATTACAGCCTAGTCTGCCTGGGTAATGTAATTACTACAATAATACACCCTCTACCCAAGGATGATTTTACATAAAAATAGATTTGACACTTGTCAGACATGATTTAGATATACAGAATTGATTATTAAAGTAAACAAAAAATTTAGATTAAATCTATTCCCTTTTCTGTTACATAAATTTATTTTGATAAATTGCTTTGCACTTCTATCTATTATTATAACAGTAGGTACTAATTCATTATCTCGAATTCTGGTTAGTGGGAAGTTTGTTGGCACGAGATTTGATTTATTGATAACAGTCCTATTTTTTTAAGTATGTGTACTAAGTTTGGAATATAATTGCCTTTCCAGTTAGTGTACTTTATGAAAAAATGAGCAGATGTGGTATGATTGCCAATGAGACAACCATGAACCAGAGACAAAAGGACTAGGCCAATGAGACAACCATGAACCAGAGACAAAAGGACTAGGCCAATGAGACATCCATAAACCAGACTGAGAGACAAAAGGACTAGGGTGTAAATAACTGTTCAACTATGGTAATACATGTATTTCAGTTTTTCTAATGTTTCCAATTATTTTGGAAAAAAAAACAATTACATGTTAGATAACTGTCATAAAAAAATCTCAATTTTTCAAATCTATTTTATCATTTCATATGCTTTAATGTTGGTATAAATTTCTTCCAAATCACTCATTTGGGGCGCCCCGTCCACAACTTTGTGATAGTGGGCATAGAAATACTGGGCATGTATATGTTTGGTCTGACAAGCACTCCCATTCATACAATTCCTGAGAAAACTTGTATGAAAGGATTGTATCAGCAATGTCTTGGTCAAGTTTGAAAACCAGTGTCAATCAGCTATCTTAAAAGGAAATATATATGATATGAAAAATTGCATTGTAAGTGTTCTCAAGCCAACATTTTTTGTCCAATTTAAAAAAAAAAACATATCAGAAGGTGTATATATCAGCAATGTCTTAGACAAGTCCAAAATCAGCTCCAGATATTTTTTTTATAGTAATCATGCCAATTGGCAATAAAAGTTATAGGAAAAATTGTATTGTAATATAAGAGATTTTCATGAACAAGTTTAAATTAAAAAAAATTTTTATTTATTGAAGTTATTGCCCTTGTCATATATGTTCATCAGTGGGGGATGTTGGAATGCTCCTCTTTTATTGTTTGCTGAGGAACGCAGTGTTGGGGTCATAGAAATACTGGGGCCTGTTGTGTCCATCTGGACTTGAAAGCATTCTCACATATATGTACAATTCTTGCCACAATTTTATGACATTTATTTTATATCAAAGGTTTATATCAGATATGTTTTGGACTAATTTGAAATTCAGTGCCTGAATTATCTTTTTTTAAAGGAGTTATGACCCTTGGAAATATAAATAATATGGAAAATTACATTGTTAGGACTCTCATGTCTAAATTTCTTGTAGGATTGTTATAAAATTTATATGAATGGTTTCTATCAGCAATGTCTAGAACAAGTTCGAAAATCAGCACTGAAACAATTATTTCAACAGGAGTCCATTGGGAATGTAAATTGTGTAAACAATGCTCTGTAAGCAATCTCAAGCCTACATTCCTTGTCAGATTTGTATAAAATTGATAATATAAAATTTCTGGGACAGTTTTAAAAATCAGTGCAGATCAAGTATTTCTACATGTAATTTATATTGAACATTGAATTGTAACCACTCTCACACCTACATGTTTTGTCAGATTTTTATGAAATTTATATCAAAGGTTTATATCTGCAAAGCCTTGGAAAAGTTCTCTAATCAGTTTTACAGGAGTAATTGTTTTTACTCATTAAAATAAAAATTATATGGAAATTGAAGTAAAATGGTAGCATGACCATCTTAGAGCGGAGCTTGTTTTTATGGTATCAATGCCCACCGTCATTTTGCATCAATTTTATGAAAATTTGGAAGCCTTTTGGAATAATTCTCAAGAAAATATTTCAATTTGTTTCAAATTTATATTGTAAAAAATATAATAGTACATTTTCCTCTATACTTTACTACAACAAGAACAAAACTTATGACTCTATTAATTTATGAAATGAAAATATTTGATTTTTTGTTTTTAGGAGGCATTTTTTCTGGAGTATTATTGATGTCATAGATGGGATAGTATTTGTATTTAATTTTCTGTTTTCAGGAGGCAGTTTTTCCTTGGTATTATTGATGTCATAGATGGGATAGTTGTTGCATTTAATTTTCTGTTTTCAGGAGACAGTTTTTCTGGAGTATTATTGATGTTATAGATGGGATAATTGTTGTATTTAATTTTCTGTTTTCAGGAGGCAGTTTTTCAGGAGTATTATTGATGTCATAGATGGGATAGTATTTGTATTTAATTTTCTGTTTTCAGGAGGCAGTTTTTCCTTGGTATTATTGATGTCATAGATGGGATAGTTGTTGTATTTAATTTTCTGTTTTCAGGAGGCAGTTTTTCCGGAGTATTATTGATGTCATAGATAGGATGGTTGTTGTATTTATTTTTCTGTTTTCAGGAGGCAGTTTTTCTGGAGTATTATTGATGTCATAGATAGGATAGTTGTTGTATATAATTTCTGTTTTCAGGAGACAGTTTTTCTGGAGTATTATTGATGTCATAGATGGGATAGTTGTTGTATTTATTTTTCTGTTTTCAGGAGGCAGTTTTTCAGGAGTATTATTGATGTCATAGATAGGATGGTTGTTGTATTTATTTTTCTGTTTTCAGGAGGCAGTTTTTCCGGAGTATTATTGATGTCATAGATGGGATAGTTGTTGTATATAATTTCTGTTTTCATGAGACTGTTTTTCTGGAGTATTATTGATGTCATAGATGGGATAGTTGTTGTATTTATTTTTCTGTTTTCAGGAGGCAGTTTTTCCGGAGTATTATTGATGTCATAGATAGGATGGTTGTTGTATTTATTTTTGTGTTTTCAGGAGGCAGTTTTTCCGGAGTATTATTGATGTCAGAGATGGGATAGTTTTTGTATTTAATTTTCTGTTTTCAGGAGACAGTTTTTCCTGAGTATTATTGATGTTATAGATGGGATATTTGTTGTATTTAATTTTCTGTTTTCAGGAGACAGTTTTTCCTGAGTATTATTGATGTCATAGATGGGATAGTTGTTGTATTTAATTTTCTGTTTTCAGGAGGCAGTTTTTCCTTGGTATTATTGATGTCATAGATGGGATAGTTGTTGTATTTAATTTTCGGTTTTCAGGAGGCAGTTTTTCCGGAGTATTATTGATGTCATAGATAGGATGGTTGTTGTATTTATTTTTCTGTTTTCAGGAGGCAGTTTTTCTGGAGTATTATTGATGTCATAGATAGGATAGTTGTTGTATATAATTTCTGTTTTCAGGAGACAGTTTTTCTGGAGTATTATTGATGTCATAGATGGGATAGTTGTTGTATTTATTTTTCTGTTTTCAGGAGGCAGTTTTTCCGGAGTATTATTGATGTCATAGATAGGATGGTTGTTGTATTTATTTTTCTGTTTTCAGGAGGCAGTTTTTCCGGAGTATTATTGATGTCATAGATGGGATAGTTGTTGTATATAATTTCTGTTTTCAGGAGACAGTTTTTCTGGAGTATTATTGATGTCATAGATGGGATAGTTGTTGTATTTATTTTTCTGTTTTCAGGAGGCAGTTTTTCCGGAGTATTATTGATGTCATAGATAGGATGGTTGTTGTATTTATTTTTGTGTTTTCAGGAGGCAGTTTTTCCAGAGTATTATTGATGTCAGAGATGGGATAGTTGTTGTATTTAATTTTCTGTTTTCAGGAGACAGTTTTTCCTGAGTATTATTGATGTTATAGATGGGATATTTGTTGTATTTAATTTTCTGTTTTCAGGAGACAGTTTTTCCTGAGTATTATTGATGTCATAGATGGGATAGTTGTTGTATTTAATTTTCTGTTTTCAGGAGACAGTTTTTCCGGAGTATCATTGATGTTATAGATGGGATAGTTGTTGTAGTATCATTCATTGTTGACATGGTATTTGTTGGTTTGGCAGATACGATGTCTTGTCAGTCTAACTATGCAAGGTTAGTAGTCAAGGTCATTTTATTATACCAAACATTGTAATGTAAAATGAAGGCCAAAATTAAAATACATGGGGTTCTTTATTATTTGCGTCCGACAGAAATGTAAAACAAAATTTTCATTTTGAGAAAACAAATTATACAAAAATTCACTTTTATAAAGGAGTGCTATGGGCTTAACAAAGCAGAAATTTAAGTTTTACCCATGATACAGCAAGACACAAAAGGGTTAAGGTTTTGACTCAATGGAAATCTATAATATGTATTGATAAAAAACATGAATGATATGAATGGAAAATAATTGTTTAATATAGAGATGTTAGCCTATATTTGCATATGAATTATATTTAAACTATTGACTACTGTAATCTTCTAAATAGTACATATTCTTCAATGAAAACTGACTGTTTATATACAGACTTCATTTTTGGTTGTACAGTAGTTCTAAATTTAATTAAAATTCATTGGAAAATAGGCTAATTTCTTCAGATTGATAGGTATTTTATCGTAATGATATTGTGCTTGTAGTTGTTGAACATCTAACTGCTGGTGATATATTGTGTGCAATTGCTTCATGTAACAGGATTTGTTCCATATGAATTTTTTCAAATAGATTTGTTAGATCAATGTGAAAATTAATGCATACTGTTTTCTGTCAGGTGTTATTTTGTATTTTGGTATTAATATTGATTCACTCATAGGGTCTTTGCATCGGAAATAAACACATTTATTCTAAAACCAGTTGTTGGCATGATACGGGTTATGTTCTTCTCATATATGATGGTATGATACTAAACCCCTAACGGGAGGGATTGTACTTGATTTTCATATGATGAAGACATAATCTTTCAATCAGTTTAATTGAGGTCTGGAGCTGGCATGTCAGTAACTGCTAGTAGTCCTTTGTTCATTTATGTATCATTGTCATTTTGCTAAGTTTCTTTTGTTACCTATTCTGACATCGGACTCGGACTTCTTTTAAACTGAGTTTTACTGTGCGTATTGCTATGTGTGTCTTTATTCTACATTGGCTAGAGGTATAGGGGGAGGGTTGAGATCTCACAAAACATGTTTAACCCCGCCGCATTTTTGCGCCTGTCCCAAGTCAGGAGCCTCTGGCCTTTGTTAGTCTTATATGTTTTTTAATTTTAGTTCATTTATATGTTTTGGAGTTTAGTATGACGTCCATTTTCACTGAACTAGTACACAATTTCATTTAGGGGCCAGCTGAGGACCACCTCCGGGTGCGGTATTTTCTCGCTGCGTTGAAGACCCATTGATGGCCTTCGGCTCTTTGGTCGGGCTGTTGTCTCTTTGACATATTCCCCATTTCCATTCTCAATTTTAGTTAATACATCATTTACACTAAAACATATTTACCCTAAGGAAGTATGTATGGACGAGGCATCAGACTTTATGCTAAACATATCAAGTACTAACTAAATTGCAGCACAGGCAATAGATAAAAACAAATTTGATTACCAGGTATTAAGAATTTTTTTAAGCTCCTATTGATGTTTAACTGATAAATCATTGTTCTGGTCTTTTTAAATAATATTGACATTGCAGACTTCTTGTGATTGGTCGAGTGTTCCGAATAATCAGAATATTAAGGATACTGTATATAATGGTTCAGCAAAAACGACATGTAGCTGCTGCATCAAGGAGGGTTGTCTCACAGAATAAGAGAAGATATCAGAAGGATGGTTTTGACCTTGACCTTTGTTACATTACAGGTAGAACATTTGGACACAATTGTATCACCAAGTTGAGGTTTGAATTCATCTCTTCAAAATATTGCTTATTGTTCCTGAAAGGTTGTTGGTATGATGTAAGTGCAGGGAAGTACATCCAATTCAAGTGATTGACTGACTGTTTACATTACAATCTAACAAGTGGAGTGTATAATGTTCTACACAGCAACCAAATTCTTCAAGGTGGATGAATTCTTATGTTACAAGGAAGACTCATTAAAAATAGTCAATGAACACTAATTTAAAAATAGTATGACTTGTTTCCGAAACTACTATCATAGCAATTAAAAAGTAATTAGTTTTGGATGATAATTAAACAATATTTTTTTTGTTAGAAAAAAAAGCAACATTTTTTCTCAATAAAATGATGTTTAATTGTAATTATTTACCAAATGTCTTTATGATAGAAGTTTCTGTATCTAAATCATACTATTCTTTATACCCCTGTTTGTGGAACGTATTATGGTATACTGTTGTCTATCCGTCCTTCCAACACTTGGACAATAACTCATAAACGCTTTCACCAATTTTCATGAAACTTTAGTGAATTGTTTATATCTATTGGCATAAGGTCCCTTTTGATTTTTATAAAATTTAGATTTACGTTTCAGAGTTATGGGATTTTATTTATAAAAAATGGGGGATTTTCCAGTTTTCTGACTATAACTCAAAAATGCTTTGAGCAATTTTCATGAAACTTGGGTGAATAGTTATATATATTGACATAAGTTCCCTTTTGCTTTTGTCGAGCCTGCGACTTTTGTCGCAAAATCGAGACATAGCGATCCTACATTCGGTTGTCAGCGTCGTCGTTGGCGGCGTCCACAAATATTCACTCTGTGGTTAAGATAGTATCCGGAAGTAAATTTTGTAAAAAAAAAAATCCTGTTTATCTGTATTTTACTTATAAATGGACTTAGTTTTTCTGCCAGTTAACATTACATTTACTCTGTGGTTAAAGTTTTTAAAATTTTAATAACTTTCTTAAAATATCCTGGATTTGTACCAAACTTTGACAGAAGCTTGTTTGTGGTCATAAGATAGTATCCAGAAGTAAATTTTGTAAAAAAAAAATCCTGTTTATCCATATTTTATTTATAAATGGACTTAGTTTTTCCGACAGTTAACATTACCTTCACTCTGTGGTTAAAGTTTTTATACGACCACAAAAAATTTGCGGTCAAATATTGGTATCACGTCGGAGGCTGCAGCAGCGGCGGCGTCAGTGTCGTTCGAAAACATTTGGTATCCGGACAATTACTTTAGTTTAAGTGTATGGATCTCTATGGAATTTAACCAAAAGGTTCAATACCACAAAATGAAGGTTGGGATTGTTTTTGGAGGTGATGGTCCCAACCGTTCAGGAATTAGGGGCCATAAAGGGGCTCAAACAAGCATTTTTAGCTCACCTGGCCCGAAGTGATGAGCTATTCTCATCACTTGGCGTCTGGCGTCCGTCGTCGTCGTCGTTAACTTTTTACATTTTGAACTTCTTCTAGAGAACCACTGAATGGAATGAAACCAAACATGGCATGAATGTTCCATTTGAGGTGCTGACCAAGTGTTGTTACTTTGTAGCCGATCCAACATCCAAGATGGCCGCCAGCGGGGAACTTAGTTTAACATAGGACCCTATGGGAAATGCATACAAATGACTTCTTTTAGAGAACCACTGAATGGAATGAAACCAAACATGGCATGAATGTTCCTTATGAGGTGCTGACCATGTGTTGTTACTTTGTAGCTGATCCATCATCCAAGATGGCTGCCAGCCGGGAACTTAGTTTAACATAGGACCCTATGGGAAAAACATACAAATGTCTTCTTTTAGAGAACCACTGAATGGAATGAAACCAAACATGGCATGAATGTTCCTTATGAGGTGCTGACCAAGTGTTGTTACTTTGTAGCCGATCCATCATCCAAGATGGCCACCAGCAGGGGACTTAGTTTAACATAGGACCCTATGGGAAATACATAAAAATGTCTTCTTTTAGAGAACCAATAAATGGAATGGAACCAAACATGGCATGAATGTTCCTTATGAGATGCTGACCAAGTGTTGTTACTTTGCAGTCGGTCCATCATCCAAGATGGCCGCCAGTGGGGGACTTAGTTTAACATAGGACCCTATGGGAAATACATACAAAATGTCTTCTTTTAGAGAACCACTGAATGGAATGAAACCAAACATGGGATGAATTTTCCTTATAAGGTGCTGACCAAGTGTTGTTACTTTGCAGCCGATCCATTATCCAAGATGGCCGCCAGTGGGTGACTTAGTTTAACATAGGACCCTATGGGAAATACATACAAATGTCTTCTCTTAGAGAACCACTGAATAGAATGAAACCAAACATGGCATGAATGTTCCTTATGAGGTGCTGACCAAGTGTTGTTACTTTGCAGTCGGTCCATCATCCAAGATGGCCGCCAGCGGGGGACTTAGTTTACCTTGGGCCCTATGGGAAATGCATACAAATGACTTCTTTTAGAGAACCACTGAATGGAATGAAACCAAACATGGCATGAATGTTCCTTATGAGGTGCTGGCCAAGTGTTGTTACCTTGTAGCCGATCCATCATCCAAAATGGCTGCCAGCGGGGGACTTAGTTTAACATAGGACCCTATGGGAAATACATAAAAATGTCTTCTTTTAGAGAACCACTGAATGGAATGAAACCAAACATGGCATGAATGTTCCTTTTAAGTTGCAGACCAAGTGTTGTAACTTTGCAGTCGGTCCATCATCCAAGATGGCCGAAAGCGGGGGACTTAGTTTAACATAGGACCCTATGGGAAATACATAAAAATGTCTTCTTTTAGAGAACCACTGAATGGAATGAAACCAAACATGGCATGAATGTTCCTTTTAAGTTGCAGACCAAGTGTTGTAACTTTGCAGTCGGTCCTTCATCCAAGATGGCCGAAAGCGGGGGACTTAGTTTAACATAGGACCCTATGGGAAATACATACAAATGTCTTCTCTTAGAGAACCAGTGAATGGAATGAAACCAAACATGGCATGAATGTTCCTTATAATGTGCTGACCAAGTGTTGTTACTTTGCAGCCGATCCATCATCCAAGATGGCCGCCAGTGGGTGACTTAGTTTAACATAGGACCCTACCGTAAATACATACAAAATGTCTTCTTTTAGAGAACCACTGAATGGAATGGAACCAAACATGGCATGAATGTTTCTTATGAGGTGTTGACCATATGTTGTTTCTTTGCAGCCGATCCATCATCCAAGATGGCCGCCAGCGGGGGACTAAGTTTAACATAGGACCCACGGGAAATACATACAAATGTCTTCTTTCAGAGAACCACTGAATGGAATGAAACCAAACATAGCATGAATGTTCCTTATGAGGTGCTGACCAAGTGTTGTTACTTTGCAGTCGGTCCATCATCCAAGATGGCCAACAGCAGGGGACTTAGTTTAACATAGGACCCTATGGGAAATACATACAAATGTCCTTTTTTAGAAAACCACTGAATAGAATGGAACCAAACATGGCATGAATGTTCCTTATGAGGTGCTGACCAAGTGTTGTTACTTTGCAGCCGATCCATTATCCAAGATGGCCGCTAGTGGGGGGGGGGGGGGGGGGGCTTAGTTTAACATAGGACCCTATGGGAAATACATACAAATGTCTTCTTTTAGAGTACCACTGAATGGAATGAAACCAAATATGGCATGAATGTTCCTTATGAGGTGCTGACCAAGTGTTGCTACTTTGTTGCCGATTTACTGTTCAAGATGGCCACCAGGAAATTTTATTAAATAACGGGACCAATATTAATCCAAATTTGGCCTCAATCATTATTTGGGTATCTGTTATGATTTTTATCTATCTTTACATGATTTCTAAAACCAAAGTAGAGTCAGGTGAGCAACACAGGCTCTGGAGAGCCTCTTGTTCTAGTTTCAGGACAATAACTTGTGTATAAGTATTTTGATTGCTCTGAAATTGTACCACAAGGTTCAATACCACAAGTAGAAGGTTGGGATTCATTTTGAGGGTCATTGCCCAAACCGTTCAGGAATTAGGGGCCAAAAACAAGCATTTTTCTAGATTTCAGACAATAACTTGTGTTTAGGTGTATGGATGTCTCTTAATTTGTACCACATTTTACAAAAAGAAAATTTCTTCCAAATTAATTTTTTGGAAAGGGGGGAGGGGGGATACATTTTTTTTTTTGGGGAGGCAATTTTTTTTTCCTTAAATGAAAATTCTCTTCAAATATTATTTTGGGGGGATTTTTTTTTTGGGGGGGTCTATTTTTTTTTCCCTCAAGATTTAAGAAATTGTCAATTTAAAAAATTGGGGGTCACAATTTATTTTGCTAATTCTTTGTATATAGTCTGAAAACAGATTTACTAAGTATTGAGCAACAGCACAGTGTATTGCACAACAGTAAGAAATCTTCAATTGCATATAAATTCAAATCATACAACCAATTTCAAGTTCTTTGACACATTTATTCTGTGTCAGAAACCTATAATGTGTCAAATATTTAATTACAATCCAAATTCAGACCTGTATCAAGCTTGAATATTGTGTCCATTTTTGCCCCAACTGTTCAGGGTTGGACCTCTGCGGTCGTATCCAGCTGCGCTCGGTGAAGCAGTTTATTAACATTTTAATAACTTTCTTAAACTATCCTGGATTTGTACCAAACTTGGACAGAAGCTTGTTTATGGTCAAAAGCTAGTATCTAGAAGGAAATTATGTAAAAACTTGTTTCCTGTTTTTACGTATATTACTTATAAATGGACTTAGTTTTTTCTTCCAGTTAACATTACATACAGTCTGCAGTTAAAGTTTTTAAAACATTTATTAGATTCATAAACCATCCTGGATTTTTACCAAACATGGACAGAAGCTTCTCACAATCAAAAGATAGTATCTTGAGGAAAATTTTTAATAATTTTTTCCCCATTTTTGTTGAGCCTGCTACTTTTGTAAAAACTATCTTCTTTATCATTTGTTCATGCAATAAATTTATGTTTCAACTCTTTTAAAAATCTATAGATTTGATTGCATACTGTATTCATTTTTTACAAGCATAATTTTTTTCATACATTTCAAACGTTTTATTTCATTAACTGTAAATCTATTATGTGCATTCCCCTATCACACTGAAAACATAGACAACAGCAAAAGTAGGCGAGACACTGGGTTCCGCGGAACCATTTACAAATTTTTTTTTTTATAAATTTCTGAAATGACATTGTGGAGTTGTGGAAATTTTATTTGTTCAAAAATCGAGGCCACTAACTTAGCTAAACTTGAGGTAGCCTTAGTAGTGCCAATTGTTGTGTCAATGGGTACCACTGTGTGCATGTCTCTTTTTTTTTTGGAAAGGGGGAGGGGGGTCTATTTGAGCAGTGCTCACAGTATTTCTACTTGATCATTTAAATTCTTTTAAAGTATAAAGACGAGCTTAAAGGTTGATGGGTGCAGCTCTTTATTTAAACTAGTGATAATCAGTCCACCTAGTATAGTTACTGTCCATCTTAAGCATTAAAGTGCTGTGTAGGACATTAAACACCGCCAACTTCTACTATTGTACAGGTACTAACAGACAGTCAATCACTAAACTTTGATAGGAAGATTTTTTTTTTAAACCTGCATTTGCTCCCTACTATTAAGCTCTCACTAGCATTGAGCTAAAATCTTTCGCCTGATGTTCAGTTTAAAGAGATGAATTTAAACTGCAACTTTGTAAAATTTGTTGCTAATTGGTATAAGTTATAGATATAGTCATTTGATAGAGTAAAAAGTATATACCGTAAATTGGAAAATTTTGGCGTCGGGATATTTTGGCAGTTTTCTCTAGAAAGGCATGTGTTTTATTTTGGTGTGTGCAATTTTGGTGCTTCGTCCAATTGATATGTCTAATTTTGGAACAACAGTAGTAAGCAAGCTCATTCATATTTGTCTTTATTTACCCGTTTATTGACAAAATATCATTGAATTTCTCAAACTAGAAACACAACATGTTAACTTAATGAAGGAATCGGATATGGATGCAATTGCAAATAATTCCGTATATCTTGGTTCAAAGCTGAAAGAAAATGTGAAATAAAATCTTAAACCTAAAATCACTTTTTAAATAGATTATTTATTTTTTAAAAATATCATATGAAATAAATTTTAATCATCTCTATTGCATTTCATGTCTATTGACGATCAAGGATTTAAATTTTAATCCTTATGCCTCTGGCAGTACATGTTAATTAATTGAAGATAAAGGATTACAAGGAGTTTTGATATTCTAATTACCAATAACGGTGTCTAATCAGCAATAGCCTGGCATATTTATGACATGTGTAAATAAAAATTCATGTTGTGTTTTCTTAACAATTTCAGAAAATTGACAATTAAGTAAAAATTATATAGTGTTGTTGTCACATTATACCAGGTATTTATTTGCAGATTTGGCTATGTATAAAATTGTAGGAAATATATGGAAGATATAATAACATAAACAATGTCCCCAGCAATTAACATTACGATATTGTCGTACTGGTATGCGATTTTGGCGTTTCAATTTTTAGTGTTGGCTTTATTTTCGTGTGTTTAATTTTGGCACTGCATTTGAGGCCCCGATAAACCAAAATAAAACTACAACCAAAATAACCCAATTTACGGTATAAATGTAAACCATCAAGATCAGACACATAGAGAGCACAAAATCGTAAGGTACATGTAACACGAAAAACAGACATCGGTATGTCAAAGATAATACGGTGTTAATCAATAAGATTATGTGTTTTTTGCTTTTATGCCCCTGCCGTAGGCGACAGGGGCATTAAATGTTACCCTTGACCATACATCTTTCCGTCTTCTGTCTTTCCATCTATCCATCAAGCTATCCAATTTTCATTGCAAAGCTTGAGCAGGGCATTCATGTCCTCAGACACATTCTTCTTTTATTCAAAATCCTATACAAGAATGCAGTGGCGGATCCAGAAATTTTAATAAGGGGGGGCCTACTGATTGCCATAAGAGGGGGCCTGCTCAGTCATGCTTCAGTGATTCTCTAAAAAATCAACCAATTTTTTCCCACAAAAGCAACACACGATTACTATCAAATGAATCAACTCTTTTAGGACACTGTAGTTTGCATTTTAATCAGATTTTATGCCTTGAAGCACATTTTATTGAAACAAAAAATGGTCCAGGTTGTTTCTTTAAAAGAAAAACCTCTGGTTCTGAAAGAAAATAACTCCATATAGATATATAATGAAAGGATCAAGTCTTTTGAATATGAGAAGTAATAAAAACCCACTTGAATATCTGCTGAAAGTGATATTTTGTAATTTCAAGTTACATGATAAAACAAACTAAACTGTGTTTTCTCCATAGGATAGACAGAGAGGACAAGTTAAAGGTAAAAGTTTTGCCCATTCTTTGCTTATTCCTGCTATGGACTAATGAAAAAAACAAAATAAACATGTTTAGCTGTAATGTAGTGAGTTGTTTTGAGCCAACTTAAAAAATGCCACTTTAATTGTCCTCTTAGGTTGTTTTCTCATTGATTTTGACACATCTACATGCATTAATGACTACTCATATTGGAAGAATTTATATCTACCATATTGATAACAATTCAAGGTCATCAGCTGTACTTTGTACAAATTAAGCATTTTATTTTTTTGAATATTTTTTTTTTCTTTCAGAGAGAGTTATTGCCATGTCTTTCCCATCAAAAGGAATGATGGCAATGTATAGGAACCCTGTAGAGGTAATTAGAATCCAAATTTTTCTTGTATGGTATTATCATAGATAAAGATGCAGTGGACATCTACGGGTATATATAGTATATTTTATAGCTTGATCAAATTTGAAATTTCCATAAGTACTTATGGATTATCAATGATTTTTCAAACGAGAGGGTGTTTCTCAGCTACAATCTCATCAAAAGGGCTACAGCCCTGAGATGAGATGTGGCTGAGAAACTTCTTCGAGTTTGAAAGACCATTGGCAATCTGTTTATAGCTATTTTGCCTATGATGTCGTTGATGTTTACATTGACAACATCACGTGCGCCTCGTAGTTTCTGACAATAATTTTCAATATTAAGCGAGTAGCATGATATGAAAAATTATCACAAAAAAAGATCAAAGAAAAAATACACAAAATAGCGATAAACTGCATTATTAAAAGAAAAATCATGGTGTCTTTGCTACAAATACATATACATTTTACACAAGTGATGATAAAAATATAATGAAAGGTACAATCAGATCATTTGAAATTGATTCTTTCATTGGTTTGATATATGTCAAAAAACCATCTTGCATGCAAGTACCAGTAATATGTTTAACTTATAAAAAAATTATGAAATATTTAATTGCCTTTCTTAGAAAAACTTGAATCTTCAGTGTACATTCAATTTGAATTGAACAATATAATCTTCAATGCACATTTGTAGTATGATGGATATTTCGCAAATAAATCCCTTCAAACCGGTGCTAGGGGACATCTTGAACTTGAAGTAAGATAAGATTTTTCTCCCTGTCAAAGGCCTCACTGCATCTATGGGATGAAAAATATCAAACAAATGGATGATCCTTTGCTTTCTGTTTTTTATGTACATGTTTTGTTTTTGTGTCCTGAATTAATACACCATATTTTTTCTTTTACATTAAGTTACAATATATTGCAGGAAGTAGCAAGATTCTTCAACACAAAACACAAAGACCACTATAGGATTTTCAACTTGTGTAGTAAGTTCATCTTACACAGTTTTTTTCTTAAAAGAAAATCAGAAAATGCTGTGTTAACGGCAGATAAAATTATTGTTGTGATTGTACTCACATTTTTATTTTCTATAATACCATTGTTAGTATAAAGATAAATGTATAGAACTCACCAAAAGTAATGCTTTTCTTGTGCTTTTTTATTACTGTCCACTGATTAAGATCAATAGTGGGAGAGTTGAAATTAAAAAAAAACAAGTATTCCCCTTCCATGAAAAGTTTAAAAAGAGACTTTTAAGATGCCTTGATCTTGTTTTCTTATTTAACTCTATACCCTGTTGTGGTTTGAAAATTCAATGCCACCTACTATCATTGAGAAGTCAGCCATTTTAAACCATTTGACCATAGTGTCCTTTTCCTATGTTAATGTAAATATTCAGAACTTTTCCAGAATGTACATTAATATGAATATGGTGTATTGTTTATGATTAGAAAGTTTATGATTAGAAAATGTTTTTCAGGTGAAAGAGATTATGATGAAACCTTATTCCATAACAGAGTGGAGAGAGTTTTTATTGATGATCATAATGTTCCAAGAGTAAGGTACTGTATATAAAGGAAACAGAAATTATCGAATATGCAAGTTAACAAACAACTACAGAATGTAACCTCTCAAGTGGTAGTCTATTGTCATATCTAAATGTTTTATATGAATTAAAGAATTTATGTCTGATGACAAGATTTTTGGTAGTCTCTGTTAAGTTTATACACATTTTTTAGACTAGGTTGATTTAGAGCTTGACATATTGTATAAAGACAATTGTCTATTGTTATAGACCTTATGTTAAACTGAAGAGGTCTTTTGAATTTTTTGTTTGTTGGATTGCTGTATCATTGGTGTATACCCCACATCTCCTTTTATTCAAAGTGTGGATTTTCATACCAGATGCAACCTCCTTTCAGGTTATAGGGTAGTAAATCCTGCGGCATATAATCAACAAGGGTTACATCAAATAAATTATATATATTTTCAATAACAGGTGCCATCATTATAAAAGGCAATTCAATTTTGTTTATAAATATAGGAAAGTATATGCTTTTGAATGCATACATTTCACATTAAAATGTATCAAGGCTCAACTGATCTAGGTGGCCACTGTCTGCTCCTTGAATCATTAACTGCCAATCTTTGTCTGTAGTCTGTTAAACCTTCTAAACTGTTCTCCTCTGAATTGGCTTTGCTAGATATTGCCTGAATTGTCCTTCAGATGTTATTGTTAAACAAATTCAACTTACTTTTCAACCTATCAACATGGTTACCAAAAATGGAAAACCAATTACAGGTTTAAAGCAGTTACATTGATCTTTTTTCCCTTCAGATCAAGTATTAATAGAATGACCTTATGAGGGGCGAAACTCCCTGTATTGGTGGTATCTGGTGATCTTTAACTGCTTAATAGAACTGCCTATAGAAAATTTGTGCTTTGTTCAACAATCAAATTCATGTTTACATATAGTCACGAAAATTTGTACACCCATAAATGATGATGAATTCGCAGTGGTTCCTTGGGTGAATTGCATTAAAATGATTAAACATGCCTTTATGGTAACCTCGTTTCAGCAGTCACCTGCATCTAACGGTCACTTTCAGACCCTCCCAAACATTTTCTCTATACAATTTTAACTCATTTCATCGGTCACCTAATTTTCGCATGAAATCTTCTTTTCAACTTTTAACAATGGTTATTAAGATGATTTTCATGTTTTCTACAACCAAATTGTAATCATGACAAAAAATATATGTGTTCAATATAGGGGGTAAAAATGAGAATCGGAACCCGTCTGAAACTGAGATCCTGCAATAGGAGCTGAATTTGTGAATTTCTCGATTTCTACTCCTCAGTATCATCAACTTATTTCTCCATGAATATTTACTATCTTCAAATTCGAGCACCAGAAGCCGCCATATTTTATTTGTCTGTTCGCACTAATGATAACTCTACACTCAAAACACTAAAATAATTTTCCACGATCCCAGTCACGTGCAAAGTCAGAATCAGATTTTTTTCAGAACCTTATTTGAAAGGTCTCCTCTCTTGATGGTCACTTTTGATACTTGCTATGAGTGACTATATATATATAACTGATGACAATTTCTAAACAAATGTCTATTGAGTTACTTATAATACTGTTTTGTACTGTAATATTTTAGGGAAATGATTGAATTTTGTGAGAATGCAAGAGAGTTTATGGCCCAGGATCAACAGAATGTAATATCCATACATTGTAAGGGTGGTAAAGGTAGAACTGGTACAATGATATGTGTCTGGCTAATCGAATGTGGACTGTTTGAAGGTGCAGAGGTAATCACCAATAACCTATTGAAGTCAGACTATATTACCACTAAAAACATCATAGTTTGACTGTAAAAGTAATACAGTGAACTGCATCATATTCAATTACAATGATAATGATTGCCAATTTGTAGTTGTTCAACAACAAGCTTCCAGCACAGATCAATACAGTCTGTCACCAATTAGAATTTTCTGTAAAAAAACATTACTGTTTTTAGGATGTTTTTAAGTTCTTTTTGACAAACAAAACAACCCTAATGGCAATAAAATTCTTTTATGTTAAATTTATGTTCGTTTTTTATATTTGGAAGTTTCTGTTACTGCTTTTCTTCAGTAATTTGTAAAAATGACAATGTACACTCCTTCTGCTAGCGTATGGCAGTTTGTCATACAGGCACAAAAGTTTGGAAATGTAATTGGGAGTTTCTACAACTTTACAAGAGATAAACTTCATGAATACATGAAACTCACCAAGGAACAAACAAATCAAAAATTATTCACCCTTTTCAATTAAATGCTTTTAAAAAGGTACTAATATTATATCAAATGATGGTAAAATTATCTCAGTAAGATGAAAATTTGTGGGTTTTTATTTTTATTTTTTTATGAACTATTATTGACTAAATTAAATGTAAATAAATCTAAGGTTTGTTGTAGTCTAAAGGAGACAATTCAGATGTTTTGCATAAAAAAAGGTGTCTTTACTACTAAAATAACGTGGTACAATTTGTTAGCCAGCATGACATAAAAACGATGAATCAAAGAATTCAACTTTATGTATAAACAATATAGGACAATGGTGTTGTTTAAAAATAACACTATTCCAGGCTCTTTTGTTTTCCACATAATTAATATAACCAAAAATTAACAAGTTTAAGGTCGAATCTGATACCGATACCAGTAGTATATGTCACATGTAGTTTCCAGTTGTTGTAGTTACCTGTTACCTTCTGTAAATCACTCCTCTATCAGGAGAACCTAGAATTCTTCCAGTAGTTGTTTTATATCTATGTTAATTTATACTACAGTACATTATTTAACAAGTCTGTTTTCTTCCACCTCAACACCACTATTAATTTTGGTTAATTAGTTAAAAAATTAAATTTAGTTTATAATAAGTTTATTGTAGTAAGAAAACCAGGACAGGTTCAAACAGAAGTATTTTGAAAGCAGAGAAAAACTGCACCATACTATCAGCATGACTTTATCAGATGACTATACGAATACTAAAAATCCAGGCTAAAAAGAAGGCATAGGTACTTTAATTCAGTCACAGACCTGGGATGAAGCAGGTGTGTTCTAGTATTTTTTTTATTGTTTCAGGAAAGTCTAGAATATTTTGGTGACAGAAGAACAGATTTAACAGTGGGTAAAAAGTTTCAAGGTGTTGAAACTCCTAGTCAGGTATGATGAAAAACATTAAACTGATGAGTCTTTTAAGGTAGCTGGGGTGTCTAAATACATATTTTTCTTTAATTTCTGTTAAAGACTTTGGTGTCAATTTTCTTTCAAATTTCATTACAAAAACTGGGGTCACAGACCTTTTTTTTCGTTAAAATACATTGAAATTAAAGAAATCACAGTTAATTTATACGGGTCATATAGGGGAAACTTAATTTTTCCTTATTGAGGAAACATTAAACGATAGAATTAGTTAAAACTCTGAGAGTCTTCTGTTTTTCATGAATGATTCTGAAATATCAATAAAAATCGGGGGTCACAGGCCTTATTTTCTTGAAAAATAAAAAAAAAACACAAATTGTCCTATCAAATTCTATATAATTATCTGCCCTTGATTTTACAAGGATTTTTATGGAAAATTTTAAATACACTTAACGATACTTAATTTTTTGATAGTTTAATTTTTGATTTTAAGTTTTAGATGTTTCTGTTATATATTGAATGATATTTGGTAAAATATTTTTAAAACAGAAAAGTATTCTTACAACATGCCCAGAAGGGATGCTCAGAAAAAGACATCTCACTAAAATAGGGGATGAGAGCTCAGTACTTGCTAGCCCTACTACATGTAGTAAAATATGTTGGTCCAAAATCAACAACCTCATTAATTGTCGATATTGATTGTGTTTAGTGTTTTGTTTATGAATGGGGTTTAATGTTCATTGCAAACCATTTGTTGACTTTGTTAAATTGCTCTTACTTTGTCTGCACATAGCACAATTTGGAGCTGGACATATTGAATGGACACTTGGTATTTTTGAAGGCTATATATCTGGGAACCTATGAACCTCTATATGTATTTTTATGCCCCTGCCGTAGTGGTGGGGGCATTAAGTTTTACCCTTGTCCGTCTGTACGTACGTATGTACGTACGTCCCAAAATTGGTTTCCGTTCTCTAACTCTAAACACAGATCAAGTTTGAATTTTGGTGGCGTCACTTTAACCGTTCTAGAGTTATGCCCCTTTATAAATGGAAAAATTGCAAAATTTTTAGTTTCTGTTCTCTAACTTAAGTTTACCTCAACCAGTTGTTATGAAACTTATACACAATGCTTATTACCACAAAACACAGATCAAGTTTGAATTTTGGTGACATCACTTTAACCGTTCTAGAGTTATGAACCTTTATAAATGGAAAAAATTGCAAAATTTTTATTTTCTTCTAAATATCAAGTAATTTTTTAAATTGGAGTTATCTTCCTTTGTCCATGATTATAGTTGAATCAACTACAATCAATGCTTTATACAATGCAATGTTTAATTTTGACTTCCACTGATAAAACACAGATCAAGTTGAATTTGGGTAGTGTCACTTTAACCATTATTGAGTTATGCCCCTTTATAAATCGAAAGATTGCAAAATTTTTAGTTTCCATTCTGTAACTTAAGTTTGCCCAAACCAAACATTATGAAACCTATACACAATATTTATTACCACAAAACTTAGATCAAGTACAAATTTTTTGTTTCCGTTTTCTAACTTTAGTTTGCCTCAACCAAATGTTATGAAACTTATACACAATGCTTATTACTACATAATACAGATTAAGTACGAAATTTGGTGGCGACACTTTTACCATTCTTGAGTTATGTCCCTTTATAAACAAAAATTACTGAAATTTTCTTTTCCATTCTCTAACTTTAGTTTGTTTTTTTGTTGTTGGTTTGCTGTCTTTTTAATATGCGCCAAGATGGTTTATTTTTATTCAACTTACTAGAAAGACGTATTTACACCTGTATGAAAATTTGTCCCCTATTACTTAAAATCACACAAGTTCCTGTATAATTTGACATTACAATTTTAAAAAGTTGACGTCATAGTTAAAAAGCCAGCATTTTAGTTGCTTTCAACAATTATATATCAGAAGTGGGAAAGTTTGAAAATTTCCTTCCAAAAAACTATATCTTTATTATCTTTTGGGAAGTTCAAGCGATTGCAGATTAATTAATGAATTTAAATGATTAGATTTTAGAACAAAATAGGATCTTTTAACAACATAATCTTTTACATCTGAATACTTTTTAAGTTGCACTAACATGCACACATTGAGGGTACACACTGTCTCCTTATATATATTTATAGAGTAGATATGTTGGATATTTTGAGAAAGTAAAGAAGAAACTAGATGGTAAACTACCTGCACAAGTACCTAAGAAGATATCTACTATCAAGATCTTAAATTTAACTGGTAATATTATTATAGGAAATTACTTTAATACAGTACTTTGGACATTATTTTTGTAATGAAATAATGAATTGTTGGACATTAATGTATTTTACCAAAAATAACGACTTTTTATTGATTCAATCTGACAGTGTTTTGTAATTGTTGAACCTATGAAAAACAGTGACCAGGTCAAAATTCTACACTCTGTTCTAATTTTTTATTTGACTTTTTTTTTTATTGATGAACTAATAACCAAAGCAAAGAATGTAAGAAATTTTAAAGAAGTCAATACAGTTAAATGGGGCAGATGAAAAACCATCCAATTTACATTTTTTAATAGCGATAAAAAATTCATGTAAAATACACTGACGTTATTATATGTGCTGGATAACTATGAAAGTAGTGGCAAGGAAAAACTCACATGCTGTCTATGGAGGCAGATCGAAAAAATTGATTCTTTTTCCAAATTTCCCAAAAATGACAGTTATTTGTATAATGTTTGGATGTATGATGGGAACATGATGATGTTGCATTGAAAATATTCAACTTAAGACCTTCAAAAGCCAAGATTACAATGCACAATATTGCTGCAACATCAGACTTACTTTTGCCTTTTCAGTTGCATTTTATTTACACTGTACACCATGATAAACTTCAGTATTTATGCTAAAAAAAAATAATAAATAAATAATGATGAAGATTTCAGTATAGAAATCAAGATTAATGGTTTGTTTATTTCTACTGTTTGTAGGTGTAGGTAATGGTGATGGAAAAGATCTCAGTATGGAAATCAGAGTGGATGGTTTACTTATTTATGAATCTAACTTTGGTCAGAATATAAATTGCACTGTAAGTATTTTAATTATAAGATCTGATTTTTTGTGATAGTTAGAGAAAATGTGCTCATATGAAATTGTTAATAGTAAATCAAATTATAATCTGACTTAACATTGAATTTATTGTATTTTATATGAAACAAATGATTTAGCCAATTTGCAATGAAGTCAAACACAGCTTATGATATGATAAATGCTGGTTAATCCAAGCCTGGAATTTAATATTTTGGTTTCCTGATAAAATCTTCTAAACCATAAAGTATCTTTACCAAACTTGGTTTGATGATGCTCCAAGGTGTAAAGAAATCTTGAGGCCACTAGGTCAAAGGTCAGAGTCACAGCTGGTTTTCAGAGACTGAATTTTGGTAATTATGTTTTGTTTCTGAAAAATATCTTTAGAACCATAAGTTAAACATTTACCAAAATTTGTTTAAAAATAGTCCATGGGCTGAAAATGATTTTTAGATCAAAGGTCAAGGTCACTGCCTATATATAGACTGACATTTTTGGGAAAGTTTTGTTCCTGGAAAAGATCTTATAAGCCATATATTAGATTTTTACCAAACTTGATTTGATAGTGCCCAATGGGGTGAAATGTTACATGCAATCATTACTTAAGTAAGTTGAAAAAACATCTCTTTATAAGAGAAAATTTACGGGTAGTAATGGTAGTATTTTGTTTCTTCTTCTACAAACCCATGAAGATCACAACTTGGCTTTATCAGCTTTTTTGCTTCTGTATTTTTTTAAATTGTGAAAATTCTGGCCAGGAATTAGGAATTTGATTTGGCCTTGAATAAAGCAATAAAGATATTTGCAAACTTTTGGATGATTATAAAGGCATTCTCAAATATATGTCACACTTTTGTTGGTTTAATAAATAATCCTTGTAAAGTCATTTTAATGAACACAAATTTGGAAAAGAAGAGAAAATTGGTATTACTATTGTGCTTTAAATGAGAGGAATTTTCTCTTTTTTTTTTATCTTTTTAATTGTATTTTAGCTAAACAAATTGCCAGAGGATGACAGTATTGAGGTTAAATTAGAGAATGTTCCTGTGCTGACAGATGATGTGAAAGTTAGATTCTTTTCTAGTGCTGTAAGTATGAAATTATTTTATCCTGTAGAATGAATGACTAGTAAAACGATCTTGAGTGGAGACAGAATTATTATCTTGTATATGTAATGGGATTTCCTATTAGTGGTTTTATTTAGACTTTTCAGTTTTCACATGGGTTTAACATCTTTTGATTAAGTTAAGTTAATTAATCAACAACTTCTACAGTTTGTCTTTCAGTTTAGAACAATATCCTGCTTTGGCTCAAGTAGTATGTATTTATGGGATTTTCAAATTTTGTTAGGACTGTTGCCTGTATTCATGAAGGAGACCTAAACATTGAAAATGGGGAATTAAAGTTTTAAAAGATAACTGCATTCAGTTTGTGCAATGAGTTATTTCCCTTTAATAATTGAAAATCACTAAAATTAGTGTTCTCTAAGTTATAAGTTTAGCTTGCACTAAGTAAATTCCTGTACTAGATACTTTTTAATCATGGATGCCAACTCCCTTTAATAGGTTTTAAGGCGTCAATATTTTTCTCTATAAATCACAGAGTTCTTATCTCTAAAACTAAAAAAAAATCTTTAAAGTTATGTCTACAAATGTTTCAAGTGAATACAATACTATATTCTGACTTATTTGATGGATTTTCTTATTCATGAATCAAAAAAAAAGAAGCAGTATCCTTTGTAGTGGTTTTTTTTTTTAATGTTTTCATGTATATTTACATTTCATAACATATAGATAAAAGAAAGTTCAGTGTTGGAAACTGCTACTTGACAACTTGGTTACTTCATATTTTATATGCATAAAAGTCATGATGGGATTTTACTTGTATAAATATAGATTCTTTTAAGTTCAACTGGATTGATTGATTGATTGTTGGTTGCTTAACGTCCAGTGGAGTTCAACTGGAGAAACTGCAGAATTTTTTTTTCATTTACAGAAAAATGTTCCAAAGATTTATGACCATTGTGCCTTTTTCTTCTGGTTCCACACTGCTTTCATAGAGGACAATAGGTATGCATTGTAACTAAGTTTGATAATTTACCTATAATGGTAAAAGTATAGATTTAGAATATTAAGTGCCAGTCTTTGTAAGAATCTGTCAATTTAGAAAAATTTCAAAACATGGCCGAAAAAACCCACAACCTGAGTTAGAAATGGCGATCTTTCGTTTCTGCTTGTCTGGTAATTTGTGAAATCTCTAGATAACTTTTGGTGAGAATGATTAGCTCCTGTTAATTGTTAATTAAGTCTCCCAAACGAAGTTTGGGAAGACTTATTGTTTTTGCTCAGTTCTTATTATTACTATTCTTCTTCTTCTTCTTCTTCTTCTTCCTCTTCCGCGCTTTTAAATTTGAACTTGTCCGCACCCGTTCTCCAAAACCGCTTGTCAGATTAACTTAGGGTTTCACAATATGTTAGATTAACATGTCTAGTGGTGCAATCAGGGTTTTGTTTGTTTAATGGGGTTTATAAAGGGGTACTTTGAGGGGCAAAAAGAAAAGAGGGTTTTACTATAGAACCCTATGGGATTTTATTTTTTTTAATTTTCAAATGATTATAAATTGAAAACCGTTTGTGATAGACACAATCTTTTTAATTGAAAATGTTCTAAATGATAAAACCCATTAAATGAAATACAGAGTTAGTCCCCAGGGGGTCACCCCACCCCCTGCCATTTAAAAAAGTTCTAATACCTTGTAAGTGGTCAAGATCCCCACCCCTAAACCATATATATTCTGGTTTGTCATGCTAAGATTGTTTGAATGATATACAGGGTTAGTCCCCAGGGGTCATCCTGACCCCCTGTCATTTGAGAAAGTTCTAATATCTTGTAAATGGTCGAGATCCCCACCCCTAAACCATATATATTCTGGTTTGTCATGCTTAGATGGTTTGAATGATATACAGGGTTAGTCCCCAGGGGTCATCCCGACCCCCTGCCATTTGAGAAAGTTCTAATATCTTATATATGGTCGAGATCCCCACCCCTAAACCATATATATTCTGGTTTGTCATGATAAAGCACATGAAATGAAATACAGGGTTAGTCCCCAGGGGTCATCCCGACCCCCTGCCATTTCAGAAAGTTCTAATATCTTGTAAATGGTCGAGATCCCCACCCCTAAACCATATGTATTCTGGTTTGTCATGCTAAGATGGTTTGAATGATATACAGGGTTAGTCCCCAGGGGTCATCCCGACCCCCTGCCATTTGAGAAAGTTCTAATATCTTGTATATGGTTGAGATCCCCACCCCTAAACCATATATCTTCTGGTTTGTCATGCTAAGATGGTTTGAATGATATACAGGGTTAGTCCCCAGGGGTCATCCCGACCCCCTGCCATTTCAGAAAGTTCCAATATCTTGTAAATTGTCGAGATCCCCACCCCTAAACCATATATATTCTGGTTTGTCATGCTAAGATGGTTTGAATGATATACAGGGTTAGTCCCCAGGGGTCATCCCAACCCCCTGCCATTTGAGAAAGTTCTAATATCTTGTAAATGGTCGAGATCCCCACCCCTAAACCATATATATTCTGGTTTGTCATGATAAAGCACATGAAATGAAATACAGGGTTAGTCCCTAGGGGTCATCCCCACCCCATGCCATTTAAGAAAGTTCTAATATCTTGTAAGTGGTCAAGATCCCCACCCTTAAACCATATATATTCTGGTTTGTCGTGCTAAGATGGTTTGAATGATATACAGGGTTAGTCCCCAGGGGTCATCCTGACCCCCTGCCATTTGAGAAAGTTCTAATATCTTGTAAATGGTCAAGATCCCCACCCCTAAACCATATATATTCTGGTTTGTCATGATAAAGCAAATCAAATGATATACAGGGTTAGTCCCCAGGGGTCACCCCCACCCCATGCCATTTAAGAAAGTTCTAATATCTTGTAAGTGGTCAAGATCCCCACCCCTAAACCATATATATTCTGGTTTGTCATGCTAAGATGGTTTGAATGATATACAGGGTTAGTCCCCAGGGGTCATCCTGACCCCCTGCCATTTGAGAAAGTTCTAATATCTTGTAAATGGTTGAGATCCCCACCCCTAAACCATATATATTCTGGTTTGTCATGCCAAGATGATTTGAATGATATACAGGGTTAGTCCCCAGGCATCACTAATGCATATAACTTTACTGGACCAAACCAATTTTCACTAGACTTTGCCCAATGTCAGGCGACCCTGGGAATTACGAATTATGGGAGCTTCGTTTGGGAGACTTCGTAACAGCATCCTGTTACAATCATTTCTTGTTTCTAGTGAATTTCAACCAAATTATATATCTTGAATTACCAGAACAGGAAAAGGAAACGAATGTTATATTAGTGCACCATTATACAAGTTGAACATTATATGAATAACACATAGCTGAGAGGGTGATAGAGCAGATTGTTACCCCGAGAAAACATTGTCAACTGAGGCAAAGCCAAGGTTGACAATGTCTTTTCGAGGGGTAACAATCTGCTCTATCACCCTCTCAGATATGTGTTATTTAATTTGTTATACTGAATGTTCTGTTATTTACTGTCTATTGAATTTCAAATTCAAAGTAATAAACGATGTTGTCTTGTACATAACAATCATCCGTATTTATTAAAGCGCACACTTGAGCAAGCGTCTCCGTGAAGGGTAATAGAGTATTTGCCATGGGATCGAGTAAATTGTCTCCCTTGTATTAACCAATCAAAATCTGGCATTTTGACATGAAGTATAATAAAAATTAATGTCAACTTGAGGGTTTTTTTGTTTGTCATGTTTTTACCACTACAAATAACCCATTAAAAGGATAATATGAATCACCAAAAACATCTGACATTACAACAGACCACACCACCAACGTCTGACAGCTTTTGAAAGTATTTTTTCTTTAAAAGTGAAAGATGTTAAATACTTAAGAATACTGTAGATGATTTTATCATGCAATCAGCCAACTATTTTACAAATAACATGTAGACAAATAAATTTTTGCTTTATTTGTACTGGTACAAATAAAGTCTCCTGTTTCTCCACTTCCATTTTGAGCAAACAGTAATGTGAATATTTCTTTTTGGATAACCTCATTTTGAGGTTTTCTTTAGGTCCGCGTTAAAACTATGTCGATTTCTTTGAAAAATCAAGAGACAACTTTTTGGATTTAAACCAATAAACCTTAAAGTGCCGGGTGTAAATTACAATATAAAAACAATACATGAGCTGCGTCTGATAAAAATCAACATTGTGCAAATGCTTGTATACATTTACATGTATAAGACTTTGACTGATTTTGAAACATTCAAATACGAAATGAAAGATAAATTTTGGGCTGTTATATATGATTCTTGTATCAGCTCAATTTTCAAATAGTTAGACTTTGCATGGAGATTTTTTCAACCCGAAATAAGTTGACAGATGTATTGATATTCATTTACATAAGGTCGATTACTATCCTATGCAGCTCATATGTACTTTGTCAGAAATAAAAATTTTATTTGAACTCGCTACGAAACAGGAGAAAAGGTTGACGTGCCTCGCTTTTTATCCTGTTTCTAAAGCTCATACAAATAAATTTTATATTTTCCAACAATGTACATATACATTTATTATAAAAGCAGAATTACATTTATTAAAGAACTATTGAATAAATTCATAAACAGTTGGAAAGTTGAAAAAGAAACATTTAAATTTGAAACTTAGGTTTCTGACTTTGGTAGATATGATACAAAATCTTAATTAGATTTAAAATGACTAACCAGTCTATTAGAAATAAACTGAACTTGTGTAATCGAATATTACAAGTTGAAAAGGAAGGCTCTCTTTATCAAATCAAATATAAAAATAAACTACATTTATGTTTCATCTACACAAGGGTTTCTTTGTTCAAAAACCGACTAACATTTTACTTGAAAATTTCTGGATTATCATGCTCTAAAATTGACACTCTTGTACATCAGTTTGAATTATGGAATAAAGGAAAGATTTTTTTAAGCTCACCAATGTCTGCCATTTGATTATTTTTACGCCTTTTGTTTTTATCTTAGACCAATTACAGAGTAATGAAATTAATAGGCAGATATAAGCTGTTGCAACTGATAGTCTCCATTACTTATGATCTGAAATAGTAAATGAAATTATGTAAAAATATAAGTGAAAGTTCCAGTTTTATTTCACAATGTGCAATTAAATGTTTTAAACATGGACATGATGTTTCTTTAAAAAAAAATTGTCAAACATATCTTTAATGCATTAAGCTGTTCTTGTCACAAAATGAATATTAAGCTTGACTTACAATAAACAGATAGTTGCATAGTAGTGGCTAAACTAGCAATTAATTATTGCATAGGAAACAGAAACTGTAGATTAAAAGTTTTAATTTATTTGTTTTACAAACTAATTACAGTAAAATTAAAGCTTTAACCTGACCAAGCATAAAAACAATGAGCGAGTGTAGAGATTTAATTTTAATTAGATTGTTTGTTTTATCAAGGATTTGTATAGTATATTACTATACAAATCCTTGGTTTTATGTAGATTTATAGGGGTTGGGATAATATATTGTGTAAATTATGTTATTGTTGATTTATTTTGAATTTTGCAATTATTGAATTACTAGTTTTATATATTTAGGTTGATTCTAACCAGAGAAGAGCTTGATAATCCTCATAAGAAAGAAGGACAGAAATTCTACCATGAAAAGTTAATGGTTGAAGTTCTTTTTGAAGATCATAAAGAAGACTTATAATTTTTATTTTCATATGAGTTTTGTAAGCATATAGTATTATATAGCATCTTATATTAGTTATAATAGCATTACTGTATATTGTTGACTAGGATTTATTTATGGTGCTGAAATAAAACCATTGGATGTATTAATGTTATGGTAAAAAGTTAATCTAAACAAGGCATTAATACGGATTTGCTTTGACTAATTATTTAAAATGCTTTTACAGGTTGTAAATGGGAAAAAAGGGGCATTTAGTAAGGTTGTTGAATATTACAGGGTTATCATGTGCTTTTAATGGACTTTTTCGTTTAAATATTAAATACACCATGGAAAACACACTTGTACAAATGACTTGTTTAGAAGTTCAGCTTTATAGCACAGCTCTAAATGACTGACATTGATGGTTCACCAAGAAGTTGTCTAAGAAATTATCTGTTTTTCTTTGGTTTAAAAGTATTTTTAATTTTTTTTATAAGTCTTTAAATGAAAAAAAAGTTTTAAGCTGTTTATCCAGTAGTAAAATGCTGCAAATATATACATGAGTAATTCAGGCAGTACATTCCACTGCTCTACAATGGCTACATTAACACTTGAATGCCTAGAGTCAGAACATTCCACTGCTCTACAATTGCTACATTAACACTTGAATGCCTAGAGTCAGTACATTCCACTGCTCTACAATGGCCACATTAACAATTGAATGCCTAGTCAGTACATTCCACTGCTTTACAATGGCTACATTAACACTTGAATAGCTAGAGTCAGTACATTCCACTGCTCTACAATGGCTACATTAACACTTGAATGTCTAGAGTCAGTACATTCCACTGCTCTACAATGGCTACATTAACACTTGAATGTCTAGAGTCGGTACATTCCACTGCTCTACAATGGCTACATTAACACTTGAATGCCTAGAATCAGTACATTCCACTGCTCTACAATGACTACATTAACACTTGAATGCCTAGTCAATGAACAGTTTTCACTTCATCAGTCCAGATTAGCTCAGGATTAACCTGTCTGTATAAAATTGAGCCGCCAGCTGATTGGCTCACTCTCCGAGAAGTACCAGTCAAATTTAGGATTTGTGACCTGTTTTATATGTATAAACAGTTCAGACCCTTGCATGTAGGAGAGATAGATTACCAGGATGGACTCAATTCTTTGGTTTAGCAAATTACCACTTATTATAATGTGCAAAATACAAATATTTGTTGACTTGTTGAAGACCCATTGGTGGCCTTGGGCTGTTTTCTGCTCTTTGGTTGGGTTGTTGTCTCTTTGATACATTCCCCGTTTCCATTCTCAATTTTATTGTTGAATAGAGGTTGTAAAGGAGTTTGTTTAAAGTGATGTATTTTCAAAATGAATTTATATATTAAAGAAATAATTTGTTGTAAAAGGAGATTATATTTTTTATATGTGCAATACTTGTTGAAATTGTAGTAATTGTTATAGATTTTGAATTGTATTTCTACTGCAGAGAATTAAATGTTTGGTTGAGTGGTAACTTTATTGTTGATTTACACTAATTATAATTATACATTAGATTTGTAACTTGTGTAGTAGATTGTTAAGTAATATATTGAGTTTAAAAAGTTCAAAATGCTCTGAAAAGTTGATTGTTATTGTTTGGTGCTGTGTATTTACATAAGATATAGTTTTTACTTGTTGAAATCAAAATCTAGTCATTTTCAATTTTCTTTTGTCATTGAATTTTTATATCTTTAAACTGCCATGGTAAAAATTTTATTGCAAAGGCACAGGATAAGAGTCTCCAGCCATAAGGCAAAACTGAAAAGGGAAAGAGTAGAGAAGCACCTTTATGAAATACATAACCATTGAATATGGATACATAACATACAGTAATGTAATGAAGGATTAAAGTTAATCATTGATTTTTGAGTCATTGAACAGATTTTTATTAGTAGATTTATTGATGAAATCTTAGCTAATGTTTTCTTCTCTCCTTTTTGAAAAATGATAACTATTATCATACTATTGTTAGTATCTAAATAATGAACCACCATGAAGCATGTTAAGGTTATCTTTATAGTAAAATCATCCACTTTTGCTTTTTGGAGAACAGTGTATAACATTTTAGTCTGTACTGCCTGTTCAATGATTTAAGGTAAAACTTAAACATATTTGATATATACAATATGTATGCACCATGTGTCAGTGTTAAATAGAGGAGTTTCAACGAAAGTATTAGTATGAGATTTGACTGTGGTGTGGTCATCTCAACTTGTATTATTTTCTTTTGAGAAAATTCCTTATTTTAAAAGTTACTCCTCAGGGGACCAATTCAGTTAATAGTAAGTTTTCATTCCTGAATTAGCTCAGTCTTTAATTTTCTAGCAAAATATATTTTTTTTTTTTTCAATTCAGAAATGTTTAAATAGTTTGATGGTGTTCAAATGATGCATAACAATTTCTACATAATTCCACACAACTATTGGGTAGAAAATTAGATTCCATCATGATACACCATATTATTAATGTGGGTCATAAACACTCAACATATTTTATTTCCAATTCGGAGACCCGATTGGGCTTATAGATACATATATGTTATAAGAATAGAGAAAGCAATAATATGTTATGTGTTTACTCACATTAATGTTAAATCTTAAAATATTCACATTCCTTGTTAAATATATTTATACAAAGGTCACTTTCCAGTAGTTTTGCACTAGATATTTATTGTACTTTTAATAAAATAAAATCTTGCACATTAACATCCTTTTAGTTTTTATTGAAACAATTTCATGGTCTAAATGTTTAATGGCTCATACTGTTATCTCACTAGATAAATGCATTGGTGTTTAACGTCCAGTGGCAAATATTTCATGCATATCAAGATGAGAACATGAATATTAACCCTGCCTTGTACTAGTCCAACATAATGTCTTTTTAAACTGCTAGTTCAATAGGTAACAGTTCATAGGAAGACATGTCATCCTACCTGGACACACAACTCTGACTAAGCCAACCAGTCTTTACTCTTACTCCCAAATGGTGGAGAAGCAGCAAATACTAATTTTCAAGTGACCAGATTGTGATAAAACTCTTCCTGATCCCTTGGAGAGTAAGCTACCAAGAGACAACAGGAGGTGGTGGATTCATTAGGTACTTATCTTTATAGATTATGTTGTTATATATAAACAAACTTGAGTGTGACGTGTTCACGTAAACCTATACAATTTTTAACTCACCTGGCCTAAAAGGATTCAACTTCAGGGTGGTAAATATAAAATTCTCCAAAATGGAACTTGACCTAGCAATAGCCCATTGCAAATAATTACTAATAATACTAAAACACTTTCAATCTGGTCAGATTTTGACAGGTTAGCTAGGGATGTCCATTTTACAGCAATCTTATTTACTTGTGCTTTACATCGACAGAACTATATTTTCCATTACTGTGGATTCATTAAATTTCATGGATTAAAAAGAATAGTAATTTCTTCGATACTTAATTTTGTGATTTTAACATATTCTCTACACGACCTAAACAATTGTACTTAATTTACCCATAAAAATCCATGGAAATTATTACTCCCCAAATAACATCATATCCACAGTAGATAATGATTGTTCTATTGGTCCAACAATGTCTTAACAGTTCAAATTAATATGTTATTTGAGGAAAAAGTGTTCTTATGCATACTTGGTTTCATGGTTTTGAATTGTTTTTGTCAAAAAAGCAAGACATAGCGATCCTACATACTGTCAGGGTCGGCGGCAGCCACAAATATTCACTCTGTGGTTAAAGTTTTTCAAATTTTAATAAGGGAGCTACCATTTGATTTTTATGGGGGGGCTAGGATGAAATTTGAAAAAAATAGGCAGGACAGGAATTTTGAGTAAAAAAAAAGGCAGGATGAGACACTTGCAAAAAAAAAAGTCAGGATGACAATTTAGGTAAAAAAAAGTGAGGATAAACTTTAAAGAAAAAAGGCAGGACCGAATAGAGTGAAAAATAAAAAGGCAGGACAGAGATTACAACTAAAAAAAAATGCAGGACAAAATTTTTCATCCTAGCCCCCCCATAAAAATCAAATGGTAGCTCCCTAACTTTCTTAAACTATCCTGGATTTCTACCAAACTTGGACAGAAGCTTGTTTATGATCATAAGATAGTATCCAGAAGTAAATTTTGTAAAAAAAAAATTCTGTTTTTTCTGTATTTGACTTATAAAAGGACTTAGTTTTTCTGCCAGGAAACATTACATTCACTCTGTGGTTAAAAGTTTTTAAAATTTTAATAACTTTCTTAAACTATCCTGGATTTGTACCAAACATGGACAGAAGTTTGTTTATGATCAAAAGCTAGTATCTAGAAGGAAATTTTTATTAAAATTTTGTACTTGTTTATCCATATTGTACTTATAAATGGACTTAGTTTTTCTTCCAGTTAACATTACATACAGTCTGCAGTTAAATTTTTTAAAACATTTATTAGATTTATAAACTATCCTGGATTTTTACCAAACTTGGACAGAAGCTTCTTACAATAAAAAAATTGTATCGAGAGGAATATTTTTATTAAATTTTTTCCTCATCTCATTTTTGTTGAGCCTGTGATTAACAGCAAAAGTAGGCGAGACACTGGGTTCTGCGGAACCCTTACGAATTTTTAAACAAGCCTATTAAAATTAAGAGTGCACATGCTGACATGTCTGACCATGATTAATATTTAATGTTGAAAGTCTTAAAGATAAGATTTTACTAAAAGTATCACTTAAACTTTACATTTTTAATGATCCATGAAAATGAGGTCAAGGTCAGATAAACCATACCAGACAGGTAATGTACACCTTGAAATCAATTCATACACAAAATATAGTTGCCATATTGCTAAAAGTATCCAAGAAACAGACAAAACCATAAAAACCTAACATTGACCAATGAACCATTAAAAAAAACCTAACATTGACCAATGAACCATTAAAATGAGTCCAAGGACAGATCATATATGCCAGATAGACATGTATACCTTACAATCATTTCATTCGCCAAACAAATGTATAGTTGACCAATAGCCTATAGTAGAAAACACAAAAATTAAACTGATCAATGAACCACGAAAATGAGGTCAAGATCAGATGAAACCTGACAGGCAGACATTTTAACCCAACAATTATTCCATACACCACATACAGTTGACCTACTGATTATAGTATTTTATAAATGGAAACAAGAAACTAATCCTGTAACTTTGACCATGATCACTGATCCATGAAATGAGGTCCAGGTCTGGTGTCTGACAGACATGTAGACCTTGCAAAAAACCCATGTACCAAATATAGCTATCCTATTATTCATAAGTGATAAATTCACCTACAACTATACATTTTTTCTGACAGTTATTTAACCTTGAAAATGAGGTAAAAGACAATAGACATATGACAGATGGAAACTTCATAACACAAGAACTGTATATAATAGGAATGAAGCAGGTTTTCTACCCTCTGAAATATAAAGCTTTGTACAAATAGTTTACACTGCCAGATTGTAACCCCCATGCCTCGCAGGTGAGACAAAAAATCAGGTTGAGGTATAATAAAATTATAAAGGTACATGTATACTAAATTCTCACATGTGGATGTTATACCACAGCTAGCAACACATAGGGTGTGTAGTGATTTTGAATTCTTGAATCAATTTCATAATAGCA